TTCCCTCTCTTTTCCTCCCTTCCTCCTTCCCTCCTTCCTTCCCTTCCTCTCTCCCTCCATCTCTCCTTCCCCCTTCAAATAAATAAGCCTTAAAAACATACCTCCAAGAGGAAGGAATAAGTTAAATCCAGACTGGTATGATATACAACACAACAAGTTAACTTAGTTTCTTCAACAAATCAAAGAGAAGGGCAATAAAAGCGAGAAGCAGGAGAGGAAAGGGTGTAGAAAGTGAGATGAGATATCTTGGAGGGTCCTGAGAACCTTTGCGACAGCCAGATGTGGCCTGAAGTGGCTGCTGCACAGCCTGTTCTCTGTCTGCTGGGTGAGTGAATCCCATGCCCCAGACCCACGGCTGCCTCTACCAAAGGCAGGGCTTGGAACCTGGAGCACCCGACACTATGGAAGGAGTGACCTTGAGTAGACTCTGTAGTTGGGGTCAAAGGGCCAGGACAGTGGCCTCAATTCTTCAGAAACAAAGACTCAGCTTTTACCTTGAGGTGGAGTGTGTGGGAGTTCAGGTTTTCTTCCTGTGAAGTTGGAGAGAGAAACCTTCTCACAGCACCTTGCAGGTGGAGCTGGGAGTGGGAGGGATCTTGATATCAATGCTGGATGAGTGCTCTGAGGCCCTTGATAAAGGCTCTGATGACAAGGCCAGGCATCTGCCCTTGCTGGGGTGGCAGAGGTGGACAAGGGCTTGACTTAGGGTTCAGGTTTGCCAGCTGTGCAAGGTGCTTTCCCAAAAACACTCACTCACAACTACCCCAAAGAAGAGACAGAAGTTCCCATTGGTCAGATAAAATAGCAGGTGCCAAGAGAGCAAATGGCTTGCCTGACGTCACACAGCCAGGGAGCAGCAGAGCTAGGCTTGCAACCCAGATCTCCAGCCAGGCCATGACATGTCCTTCTGCCCTGCTCCTTCCAAGCTGCAAAGCCTGAGTTGTTCACACAAAGAGGAGCACTCAAAGTCACTCTGGCAAGTCCTTCTTAGCTGCAGTCACCATAGCCTCATTGCCCTGTACTTTGTCATCTGTCTCTCTTTCCAATTTTAACTCCCATAGTATGTAGTATGAAAAACACATTTAGTAGAAGTCAGTGTGGACCAGAATAACACAGGGAAGAGATAAAGGGTTCAGAACATCAATATGATCCAGAATACTCTACATCACAGACAGCAAAACCTTGGCAGTGCAATAGACCAGTACAGAATCCTTCATGAATTTCCTAACCCACAGGGCCTCCTGCTACAGCACCCAGAACCCAGCCCTGCTCCTCCCTGAGCCAGGGCAAATCCTATAACTAAAAGAACAAGCCTATCATTCCTACTGTAAGTAAAATATATGTTATCACTGGAGATGCATTCTATCACCTGGGGCCACGGGCCTATGGGAGACCTGGACAAAAGGGCCAGCCACTGCGGCCTGGCTTACGTTCCTGCACAGACCCAGAAAGCTCAGAATCCTGTCCATCAGTCCCAGGACATCCGCACCAAAGATGAGTACCTCTTTATAAAGCTGAGCGGAGGAGGCTGGGTTTTGTTTGTTTTTTCCCACAACACGCTTCCCTCCAAGACCTTCCCAGTGCAAAAACCCAAGGCTAGGATCATCCTGTCTCCTACCCTCTCACTTCCCCAGTCTCTTTGGCTTACAGGTGAAAAAGCCCAACCTGAGAGTGCAGCTTCCTCTCTTCCCAGAGGGTCCCAGGAGTACCACCTCCAAATGACTCTTGAGTGTGGCTTCTGCTATCCTTCCAGTCAGGTCTTCCTGCTGGGACTCCCTGGGAATGAAGGCGCCCACGATCTGGTTGATGGCAGGGAGGATGCAGCTGATGCCCTACATCCTCCTGCTCTGCCACCTTCCAGGGTCTTACTTTCATGGGCCCAAAGCAGTCAGGGGCCTGCAACATGCAGGACAGACACGCACAATTCAGGGCGATGTCCACACATAGCACAAGTCGATCTACTGAGCTTTTGATTTTGTTTAGGTTTTTTGTTTTGTTTTTGAGAGGATCCAATAAACTCATTTTAAAGAAACTTTTGTTGTTGTTCACTTGCAAGCAGATGCAGAGAGCGATTTTCTGTCTGCTGATTTACTCCCCAAGTGGCTGCAATGGCCAGGGCTGGGACAGGCCAAAGCCAGGAGCCAGGAACTTCATCCAGGTATCCCAGGAGGGTAGCAGGGACCCAAGCATTTAGACCATCCTTCACTGCCTTCCAAGAAACATTGGCAGGGAGCTGGATTGGGAATAAAGTGATCAGGAGTCAAGTTGGCACCCCTTTGGGATGCTGGCACTGCAGGTGGCGGCTTAACTCACCGTACCACAGCACTGACAACTCTATTGGGATTTTGAACACATTCTTTCTACTATATAGGAGTCAACTTATCTGAACAACTCAATCCTGCCCATCCCTTTAACAGTCACTGCCAGAGGCAGCTGCTTCCAAGGAGGTCACAGATGAGACAAGAACAGCTGAGAGGGACTTCATTCAGGGCTTGGCATGTGCTCCTGAGACTGCCCAGCAGAAAGCAGAACAACAGCTGGGCTGGAGAGGCAGGCCTCATTGTATACTCTGCCATAAAACCTGAAGCTGAATAGTTGAGTAGGTATCCATGAACACCCGGGTTCAAGTCTGGGCTACCCACCAACAGATTAGGGCATAGTGAGGACCAAGAGGCCAAAGACTTCTGGTCAACCCAACAAGAGTCACCAAATCTGAACACAAAAGTCTATTTATTGACACCTGTCCTGAAAGAGCCCTCTACCCTCAGACCCTGACCACAGGTGTCTGTTGAAGCGGAGTCTTGCTGGGGTATTTTTTAATCTCATATACCCTTAGTATCTGAGGACAGTGAGCTGGCTTGGATGGGAAAAAGGAGACAGAAACTGAACATGACCAGCATCGGCACAATGCATTAAGCCATCATTTGTAATGCCAGCATCCTGTATGGGAATGAAGGTTTGAGTTCTAGCTGCTCCACTTCCCCCGAGGCTAATGCACCCAGGAAAGCAGTGGAGGATGGGCCAAGTGCTGGGACCCCTGCCATCCATGTCGCAGACCCAGATGAAGTTCCTGGCTCCTACCTTTGGTCTGGTCCAGATCTGGCTATGGCAGCCATTTGGGGAGTGAACCAGTTGATGGAAGATCTTCTGGTGCACAACCTTTCACATAAATAAGATAAATGCTTTTTTCAACAAAAGAAAAAGAAACCGTGAACAGACAGAATCCACAAGCCAGGAGCCCCAGGATGAGGACAGATGTTAAGGAAGGTACAGTTCCACTCCTGAGAAGTGTGCACACATCTTCTGCACAGCCCAGACTCCACTCCTGAGCAACCACAAACAGGAGAAGCAGGCAGTCTTGCCAGTAATTAAAGTGGCAGCACATGGTCAGGATATAGCTATAAAGATCGATAAATAATGAGACATGTTTTAAGTCAATGACCCAAGACTGGCACAAATGATGGCAAACAGAAACACACCTATGCTACAGGTGGTACTGGTTAACCGACCCTAGTCTTTGAAAGTATCAAGAGTCCTCAAACCAGCATCCCTTCACCTAGTCACTCCTGGAAATTTAGGTAAAAAAATTACAAAGAGAAGGAGAAACTGGTGGGATGAAAGTGGATCTTCAGTGGACTCTGGAATGGTGAAAGACTAGGTCATGCAAACCAAATGTTCAACAGCAGGAACATAGTGGTAGACAAACCACTCAGGCAAAAGTAAAAAGGCTGTTTATGGAATTATATTACCCAGGGAGAAGAAGGAAAGCAAGGAGTTGGACCATGGTTGTATAAAATAGATAAAGATGGGAGGACCCATGGAAAAATGAGATTGCTGTGTTTGGGTTTTGCATTATTAATGTCATTTCTTTTAGTTTCCATAAAGCTACATATATTTTTTTTCACCTGGCTTCTTCTTTAAAATACTAGACTTCAAAGAAGGGGTGTGGCCCTTCCGTCAAAGTGGGGGCTTTGTCACTGCCAATCCTCAGCCTCAGAACAGGCCACACCTAGGGCTGGCCGCACCTGGGGGACTCACTGGCTGGGTTGGACAGATGCAGGCGCAAACTAGCTCAGTGGCTCAAGAGGTTCATGGGAGGGACATGGAGGACATGATAGGGGGTGCAATGGGAGGAGGGGAGAGGACAGACAGTCTTACACACTGGAATCCTGGTGTGGACATTGTGAGGAGTCATACACAGGAGTACACAGATTTCTGTTTGCTACTCCAGGCTGCACCCTGTCAAGCCTAGGACAGATGTCAATTCAGAATGACCTCAAACATCAGAGGTCACCCCTCCCCCGAATCTCTGGGTAGCATCTTGCTAGCACTGAGAAGTGACTAAGTCTTTCTCTGCTCTTCACTGTGAAGAGCTCTTCTCGGGTTAGTCAATCCTCTTAATGGTGCTGCTGCTCTTCTTAGCCCCATTCTACAGATGAGAATACTGAGGGACTCAGCCTCATGCTGAGACTACTGAAGAGGAATGGGGACTTGAACCCAGAAGCTCTGATATAGGACATAAGTGCCAAGTGTCCCATATGCCTCCCTCAGCCTGGTCTCGTACGGTCAGAACGAGATGATAAAGGCAGAGGGCTCCGTGTCTCTTTGCCCCCAGGATACAGTGGAAGCCTTACTCACACCACTGCCCCCTGCCCCGCTGCAGTTCAGTAAGCCCCTCTCTCCCTTGGCCCAGGTCCACAAAGCGAATGGGAGCCTCCAAGGCAGAGGGAAACTATCATCTGACATTCTCCTCTCCTCTCCTCTCCTCTCCTCTCCTCTCCTCTCCTCTCCTCTCCTCTCCTCTCCTCTCCTCTCCTCTCCTCTCCTCTCCCCTCTTCTCCTCCTTTCTCTCTCTCTCTTTCTCACTCTCTCTCTTTCTCTCTCAGCTGAGCTTGGGTCTGCTTGCTGCTACCCTCCCCAGGCATGGGACTCACCCTCCCCTATCCTGCCAGCCCTCCCCATCCCCAGTGCCCACCGTGGGCCCTCAGCACCCCACTCACAGCTCAAGGATGAGCACAACATCAGTGCGATTCTCGTAGACATCATGTAGAGTGATGATGTTGGGATGCAGCACCTGCCGCAGGATGCTCACTTCCCGCTCGATCTCTTCCCGGCACACGCCCCGCCGGCTGGCCCGGCTCTGCCGCTTCTTGATGAACTTGGCTGCATACTCTAGGCCTGTGCTTTTCTCACGGCACTTCTTCACGATGGCAAATTGACCACTGTGGACACACAGACACACACAGTGAGAACATCACAGCGGCCATTGGGGAGAAGGCCAATGCAAGGTCCTCTGAATCACATCACCTTCCAGCATCTGCCTATGACTGATGAACAGTGACTGGGATGGGCCAGGTGCTGGATCTCCTCTCCTTGCCTTGAAGCCTTTGTGAGGGCCCTAGAAGGAGATGGGCTTGGTCAGGATGACACAGCCTTGTGCTGACAAAGCCTTAGCCAGACCTGAAGTTGAGTATCTCCCAGATGACCGTGCCATATCCAGCAGCAGCCTGGGTCAGCATGGCTTATAGTGGAAGCAGCCTTGCAAAGTTGGTCATTTCAGATCATCCAGCAAGAGCACTAGTGTGAGCCTGGGGCTATAAAACTAGACAACTGATGACCAAGGGGAGGCCAAATGATGTGTCTGAGGTCATCATAGAGTTAACAGCAAACCCAGGCCTCAAAGCCAGCCCAGTCCACTGTCCACAAACCTCCAGGAGAGTTAAGAGGAGTCAAGACTGGGCACTGGCACCCAGGGCTGGGCCTTGGGAACCCTTCAGTGCAGATATCCATAGAGCCCTGAGCCAGCACCCTTGGGTGTTCCAAGGTCTGCCTACCCGCAGGACTGGCAGTTAGTTCCCCAAGTGCTTCTCCATCACAGTTCAGGCAATTGGCAGGACAGACGTAAGCCCCCTGGAGATGGCCAGCAGCCACCTCTCCTGGGAATCCTTCCACGCCCTTTCCACCATTTACACCTTGTCTTCCATTTAATCCCGCCTCCTACGCCCAAATTTCTACTTCTTGGATAATTCAGAATGCTATGGTTCAGTGTAAAGCCCTCTTAATGGTCCACCAGAGTCCAGGATAAGGATGTACTTTGAGCAACCTGGGGTAAAAATGATTTACCAGTCAGTACTCTGAGCATCTGCCCCCATCTCAACAAACAGCCCTGCCTCACCACCATGTTGTTATCAGAATAATCCTTAGTGAGACAGTTCCAAAGGACTTGAGTGACTGCAATAAGAAAGTCAAGTGGAGCAAAGAATATGAGGACACTTAAAAGGCTCATGGAAATGGAGCTCAAAGATGAGTTTCCTGGCAGCAATAATTGAAATCCACACAGAGTTTTTCCCTAAGATGTCTTTTCCACAAATTGCTGAAGATACTACCTAGATTTGGTGACACAACATTTCATAACAGCTCTTTTTGAGATATCACCAAACCTAAACTAAGGTCTCTCTTCTCCTCTATGCACCCAGATGGGTCCGAGCATCTACTCTGGGCTGGGCAGTAAAGGGGTAGCGACCAGAGGGACAGATGGCAGCTCCAGATGAACCTCTGGGGAGATTGCTGTTCCCTGGAGTCTGCGCTGGGCAAGGGAAGTCTGGGTGGCGCTGGCCCTCACATCTCAGCTACTAAGGCTGAAAATAGGGCCCAGTTCTATAGCTCAATTGGCTTAAACCTCAACTTGGAAGCACTGGAATCCCATATGGATATCAGTTCATGTCCCAGTTCCTCCACTTTCCCTATCTACCTCCCTGTTTATAGCCTGGGAAAGCAGTAGAGGTTGGTCCAAAGCCTTGAGACTCTGCATCTACATGGGAGACCCAGAAGAAGTTCTTGGCTCCTGGCTTTGGATCAACTCAGTCCTGGTCATTGAAGCCATTTTAGAGTGAACTAGCGGATGGAAGATCTTTCTCCTTTCTTTCTCTCCATAAATCTGATCCGCCTTTCCAATAATAAATAAATCTTTAAAAAAAAAAAAAAAAGACTGAAAATACTGACTTACTGACTTGGAGCTGTCCACACACAAGGGGCTGATGCAAGTTGCCTGAAGTGAAGCCTCTCAAGCCAAAGTGAACACATGCAGTATGACCTCTGACACAAGTGGCCACTTAGAGATACTTCAGGCCTTGAGGACACCATGTCCCTTCACAGGTGCCAGCAAACCCTTGACAAAGTCTCCAGCCACAGGTGGCCATGGGTCTCAGTGCCAGGAGAGCCACACCCCTCTCCTCTCCCTCCAACAGCATAGAGGACTGGTGGCAGAGCCTGGCAAGTGTCTTGATGGCTGCCTGAGTGTGCACTTGGCAGCTGGGGAAGGTGGAGTTGAAAGGTTTGAAGTGGTGAGATTCCATTCCCACAGCACACAGGTAGCTGGGATGGGCCTGGCACCCCAGTGGCCCAGATCCCAGCCCTGCCCTCTGCTGCTTGGATCAGGATCAAGAAGGGGCAGGAGGGCTCTTGCAAAGTCCTGCTGAGTTGATTGGGCCATGCTGATATAGCCAGTCCATGGTCTTAATGGGAAACAGGCATTTGAAAAATTCCTCCTGCTCTCATAACTCCAAGTGTTTGCTTCTCTGCCTGAACTTTCCCCTTGTGAGAGAGGTGGGCACGGTTGTTCTTCCTCTTTCTCAAAGGAGCCAAGTACCAGGCAACACTACTCACCTAGCCTTCACTCAGCCAGCACAGGAGGAGCCCCCATGAAGGCCAAGGTCCCTAGCCAGATTCTACCTGACCTCAGGTGCTTACAAGAGTGGAGAACACTCATACCCCTCACCCCCAAGTTTCATCCTGTGGACAGCACAACTGGAACTGACAGGCTCCAAGGAGAAACAGGCCTGGTCTCAAGGACATTTGCCATCAGCTGGGGCAAGCCTAGACTGCTCTGGGCATTAGTCTCCCCATATGTAAAATGGAAAAAATGACTCCCTGCTAGAAAACAAGTCAAAGTTAGAAGTAGTTGTGCTGTGGGTTGAGAGTCAAGACCAAGGAATGGCTTGTGGGAAGGCCTAGCAAGAAGCACCAAGAGACAGAAGTCATGGATTCTGACAGTCTGAGGCATGTGGCAGGGAATCAGGGAAAGTTTGGAGCCACCCTGATGATTCCAGGGCACAGCCAGATGTGGGGTTATTCCTGATCTGATCCATTAGCTAACTCCTAACAGCATGGGAAGCGAGGACAAGCAGCAGGGCTGGGACACAAATCCAGAGGCAATCAACTTGCTCTACTAAGTCAACCAGTGCGGGGCAGAATGGAGCAGTCCTATAGCACTGGAACCCCCAGCACACAGTGCTAATAAAAAGCAAACTTGCTTCTTACAGTTTTTAACTCCTGCTTTTCAATTTTCACAAAGTGACATCCTCCTGGCCTGGACCAGGGCAGACTACCCTCATTGCACCTGGCCCTAGCCCTGGCTGATCAAACCTGTCCTGTTGATGACCAAGGACCCTTGCTGGAGGCTGGAAAAGTCTGTGTGAAGGGTGGGGTTGCCTCTCATTTCCAGTCTCTGTCTGCCCACAGGTGTGCATGTCACCAGCTAGCCCAGCCCAGGCCAACCGATGCAGAGCACAGAGTTGCACAGAACACAAGGACCCCACCCAGGCACGCGATGTCATGTAGATCAAGAGGGAATCAGGCAGGAAGTGTTCCAGGCAGAGGGATGCGGAGATGGGGTTCCTTCTACTGCTTCCGCATGTGGTCAGCACAGTTCCTCTCCCCACCCTGCAGGACAATTAGCCTCAATTCCTCTGGAATTACCCTGCCTTTTCTGGGGCCAGAGGGCAAGAGATAATACTTAGACATCTCCAGCCAAGGCCACTGCCGCAGATGCAACCCTTTAGCTACTAGGGCTCAAAGGCAGAAGCAGATTAGCCTGATGTAAAAGGTCCAGTCTTCGATGCCAAAGCCACAGTCTGTCTGGGGATGGTGTCTCTGAGCTCCCTCTTTCTGCTCCTCTGCCGGGGTTCCCCTGCCTTCCTAACACAGCCAGGCTCCAGCCTCCTACAAACAAGATCTTCTTCCCAGGGCTGGAGCACCTAACCTGCTTCTGGGCCCCCAATGAGCATGTGCACAGAGTTGGTGTCACCTAAACTCAGATTGTAAAGTCAAGTGCTGATTCCAGATCCGCCACCTGCAGTAAGAACAAGGGGGCTGAGCCTCAGGCCCCTGTGTGAAGCAGACACCAGGCTGCCCCAGTCTCACCATACCAGGTTGGAAACAAGGCAAGAGTGTGAGAACCCCATGGAAATCACATGGTTTCCACAAATGTGATTTTTTTTTCTCTTTCTATCCACTGGGTCACCCTCACTGATCCTTAGCCTCCAGATTCCCATCACCACATACTCTCGAACTTGACTCAGCTCTATCCTCTGATCCCAGTTTAAAGATAGTTTTGGGGTAGGAGGCTGAGGGTAGGGTACCACAGCAATGAAAAGGAAGGGTCCCCAGGGAGAGTCAGGATCTAAGGCGGTAAATAGCTCTGCAGGACATGGTCACCCACAGTCATAGCAAAGAAGGGACCAGACATCCAGGAAGACAAAGTTGAGTTTAAAAAAATTAACACATAATATGGTCAGAAGCAAGAGCAGGAAGAGGAGTCAGCATTTCAGGCCACAAAGATGACGGTAAGAGACAAAGATTTACCAAAAGCCAGGTAGGCAGCATGTCAGGAACTGGGCAGGCTAGGGAAGAGGTGAGAAACAGGCAGGAAGCAGCAGAACCTGCAGCAGGTGTAGGGTCCTGAGCAGCGGCGACATTGGCCAGAACCTGGAAACAGAAGAGGGCGCAGGGCCATTCAAGAGGACTTTTTCTCCCAGCCAGTGAGCCAAGCCCAGCACTGAATAACCCTGACCACCTTGCCACTGATAAATCTCTTGATAATGGCTTTGAAATTTGAGGTGTGGAAACTTCTCTCCGAGAAACCTTGCACAGAAATCTGTTAAGTTAAAAAGCAGAAAACAACAACAACAACATATGTGAAGCAGCATTTCTGTCTGAGGAGAGGCCTTCTAAAGCCACCTATCCACCACAACCCATGTCCTTGAAAAACGGAGGGAGTGTTCTGGAACCCCAAAAACTCCTGGGAATACAATTTGAGAAGTATAGTTCTCTAGCAGGGAAAATAGGCCCTTGGATGATTCCAAAGGCATTTGAAATTATAACTAAGAAAAAAAGGAGTCAATGTTGTGACACTACACGTAAAACTATTGCCTGCCACACCAGC